TCCCGGGTTTCCGGAGGGGAACAAATTGCTTTTATTTAAGCGTTCAATAAAAGTACGTATCGGCGATTGTTCTTTTCCGATTCAATGATTAATCGATCATCCACGATTGTAATTTCGTCTCATCGCTGTACAGACGGTAACAGATATGCTTTAACACCTAAAATTGTACGAGCAGAGAGAAATCTCTCTCTGCTCGTATAATTTCAGGTATTAAGGCATATCTGTCACCGTCTGTACAAGAACCACTCAATTAATTCTTTTTACACATGTCGAGAGTAATTCTGCATTAAAAGAGCAAAGGGATCCCCTTGTCGACCGCTCATCGCGTGATTCCTGGCCGTTTTCGGTCTCATTTCCACCTAGAATAGCCGTGCTCGAAACAGCACGAAACGTTGCGATCATTGCGAGAAGCCTCTTAATCCGCACGCTTAATGTGCCCGTAAGCACTCGAACAATGTCCGGTGAAACACTGGAAATACTAGGGTGGCCGAGCAAGCGTGGTTTTACGGTATTATGCGTCGTCGGTTATACCTGAATCATCGTCGTTTCTTCGGGACCATTTTCCGGCCTCGAGCGATGAAAGCACACCATTTTAATCCGCTCGCCGCTCGAACCACCGTTTAAGAGCGTTTCCCTGTCGCTTCATCGGCCGTGAAATACATTCGTCCCACGTGTCTCATCGAAATTATTTGGATTATCCAAGTGTAATGTTTATTACAGTCACGCACGCGGAGCTTTACGAGGATCCATTTTTAAATTCGCGCGAAGAAATGTCGATTACGTTGATGGTTGCCGGATGACTACCCGCATTTTAAACTTCCGACACGTTATTATTTTTCCTCCGAATCGAATTCGCCTCTAAACGAGTGACGTTTCGTTTTAGGAAACAGAAGCATTTTCCGCGACGTAGATGAGAAGGCAGCTTTCCAATAATGGCTCGCGTCTATTTTTCTTCGTGAACCGAGAAGCAGCGAACTTGCCCGACAAGTCGTTGAAACAAAAATCTCACGATAAGTCTCACCCTTCGTTCGCATTCGATAGAATTACCATTTTTCCATCAGGACCTTCCACTCGAGAAAGAGGATAAATCTGATCAGTAGAGGAGAATGAAATAGACTCAGAGGCGAAATAAAATGATGAAATATTCAATTTTCCTGTCGAATGGCGAAGTATGTCGTAATCGTTGCAATAGCAATTCATATTTTTCTTCGTTGTGTTCGAAGACAAGTTTCTACATCATTTCCACATTATTAAAATAGTTCACAAGATTTTTTTGGTATACAGGTCGCGCAATTGTCGGTAATTTATACGAAATGAGAAGAGGAAACGCGGCCCCTCTCTCTGGCTTCCTTGCTTTTGTTCGCCTTTCTTACTCACGTTCTTAGCATTAGCTCCACTTTATGGTACAGCTCTCTTCTGCTCCGACGATGATAAACCTCAGCTGGCTTCCCGTACAGCACAGTATTTCTGTAGGGTAGTTCCCACGCAAGCCCGGCGGTAGTACCAACGGTAAACATTCCTTGGGGCTTTGAATACGTGCTTATGGTTAGACAGAAGACGAGCTGCGTAATAATAGTGGACAAGTAGAATAATGTTAAATTAAATTTTCTTAAATCGCAAATAATAAGTAATATTTGCTTTTAACTCTCAAGAGAGAGAGAGAGAGAGAGAGAGAGAGAGAGGGGGGAAGGTTATTAATTGATTAATTAATATACTTTTGTAAATAGTATACTAATTATTTGTCCTCCCTCGAATTATTTCACAAATTATTTTAATATTTGCAATTCAGAGTGCGCGTATTTTAATTCGGCGGCAACATATATTTTACATATTAATTTAAAACTAATTATATTCTAATTATATACGGCTCAATATTCCTTCCTTTTACAAAGTTTGTTATTACTCCATGTTGCTTCGCTTATTAGAGTCTTTCCAAATGTTACGCATAAAGGGAATTCCGTTTCATTTAGCATATGAAACTTCCTAAGCTAAACTGTATCGAGAGTTTATGTTGCGCTATAATATACAACTTCGCGCAAGCGAAACTTCCACAAGCTCATATCGACCTGTCTGGTGCGTTTCGCACAAAAACACGAGAGAGCACGAAGATTATAATTTCATTTTAATAACGGTCTCGAAAACGAGTGTAACAGGTGCGTTTATACTTCTCTACATTTTCAAAGTTTATGCATTGCAAACGGAAACTTGACACGAAGAGGATAGTAATCGCCGTTTCCGCGAGAGAGCTGAGTGTTTCTTTATTGAAATACATCTGTCGTTGTGTAGAATAAAAGTTATCTTACTTGAACGTTGCTGCCTTGAGGAAACACCAGATATTTAGTTCCAACTTCTCTCCCAGATCTTACTAGCGAGTCGTTGGAAAACGTCGTCGACGACACTGTCGATTCTTCAAAGCGACGCATAAAAACGCCGAGCAAAATAAAATGACGGAGACGATTGATCAGCATCGTAGTACGAAAATTTCATGTCCCGAGGCGGAGCTAAAGTACTAGTTTTAACGATAGAATAGACTTGAATGTGTAACCGTTACTTGCTCTCGAAAACAAACTAACGAACTGTATTTGTCTGTGTCGAAAAGTAACGGTACTTTATTATTGTTCTAACGATGAGTAAGTGGAGAATAATTTTACTCTGTTCTCTCTCTCTCTTCTCTCTTTATTCCTTCAAGAAAAATAGAGAAGTTTAAGTAAATTTAGAGTATTTCGCATAAAAATAGTATCATTTAAATTGAGCAATTAGATGACAGTCGAGAATATTCGGACTTAAAAATACGTACTTTGTTAATATTCCGAATATTTTTCATGTAATACGCAAATGCATTCTATTATGCATTTATGTTCGCATTTTTATCAAGCGTTTTCTTTTCCTTTTTGCATTTATTTTAGTCCAGCAAGACTATCTGAGATATTTAAATTATAATTTCTTAAATTTTTATACAATATACGTAATGTAATTAGTTTAGCAAACTTAAAATATTTCGCATAAAAACATTGTTTCGTAAATTAATTTAAGCAACTGGATGATAAGATCAAGAACATATCTCGACTATATAATATATTTTGACTGGGAAAAAAACAATTGAAGTGAAATAAATAAATATAATAGAACTACAGAAGTAAACAAATATAACAGAACATTGCAAATAAATATAACAAAATACAAATACATTGTATCATATTTATTTGCAACGTTCTGTTATATTTGTTTGCTTCTGTTCTATTATTTATATATATTTATTTATTTCACTTCAACCGTTTTTTTCCCTTTTATTTTTTCAAGTTTAGCAAGACTATCTTTTTTATACTTAATAAATCACAATTGCCTGAAATTATTACTTGTACAATGTACGATAATATACAATAATTAGTGGTATTAAACAAATTACAAGAATAATTATTAAATTAACATTTTCATTGGTTATCGATTACATTGAAGTAAATTATGAACTAATTAAGTATTAACCTGATTCGAATCATTGTCGATGAAACACAATGTATATTTTCTAAACATATTTTAATTTATTGCAGAAGGCTGATAAAGTATTGCAAGTTTTCTTCAATTTACTTTCATAATAAATATCCAACGTTCCATAGATAATATGTACATAATATTAACTATGTATGCATTATTAACTATTCTCATATGTTTTTAGACTCCACAGCAAACGTTGCTGTAATAATTTAATTATCTTCGGAATAAATTTCCGGTTAAAATAATTACAATACTGAACTGAGCACGTGGCATATTATCGAATCAGATGCATACTAGCAATCTAATTTAGGCCGAATATATTATAATATATATCGTGAAATTATATCGAGTGCAATGCAACAAAAGCAGGAAATGTAATGCTGGAAATACTATCTGCTGTAGTCGAGTTACAGTAAAAAATTTCATGCTCGAAAATACCCGCTTTACAATTTTCATGATGACGATAACTTTTACGCCGTACTATCACGTGTTATAACAGACACCGAGTCATTATTTCAGGATTTTTCGGTTGTTGGTTAAAGTATTACGTCAAGTGGCCGCCGGGCTACCTTGTTAAATATCGTTAATAAACAAAGCTTGCAGTTACGGGGTAGAATTTCATCAAATAAATACAATTATGTGCTTATAGTTACGACTAGTTCGTCGCGTTCGTGCGCAACAAACACCGACGAATGGGAAACTAGGAGTGCTCACACGAGAAAATGCAAAGTGTTCACTGAATGCATATCGATTAGACGTTCGTTACACTACGAAAGTATATTTGGCATATTTTATTTCCAATGAAAAGGAAAAAAAAGAAGTGGGAGGGAATCAACCGTGTTGGACGCTCCGTCGGAGCACTCTACAGAAATGAACCATAAATCGACGAGAGCCCGGCGACCATTTTATTAATGCAAAACGTCGTGAAATTATTCGAAACCGCGCCGAAATGAATTACACGTTGCGGAAGTAATGTAATGACCGATATAGAATATTCATGGGTCGAGAGCCTCGCGCCAAACTTTCTGAATTTAATCTCGGATTCGTCGTTGATGTTAAATAATCGTTTATTACCCCCTTCATTTTTAACAAGGTAGTCCGGCGACCACTTGACGTAATACTTTAACCAACAACCGAAAAATCCTGAGATAATGATTCGGTGCCTGTCATATATAGTCCTTCAACAAACTAAGGAAAGCGGATGAACTATTGATTACATATTTCATGTTATACTTCATGCATACTTATATATTGTGTGATTTTTTATCTAGATATCATAAATTTTGTATGTACGCAAAAAAATTATTATTATTGTCATATAAATATAAATACTTATAAATACTTATAAATATTAATCCAGCGGTAAATGTACGTAATAAATCAATAAAATAATATTATTAATATAACATAATTAATAAAGTTAAGCTAAATACATTTTAAACAAATCTTTTTTAAAATAACAGACATACAAACTCAAATTTTGACACGTTGTGCGAACTTATCTCTGGTGTAGTATCTCTTCTCTTTCAATAAAGAACGACAAAATCGCATTTGATCGGCGTTTGAAACGTTTGTAATAACGATAAACCAACAATACAACAGGTCTACCGTTTTATCAGTCGTCAGTCCAATGCGTCGCGAAACGACGCGCGAAGCCATCGTAACATCAGGCAGAAAAATCACCGCGAAATAGGACGGCTGCCAGAGAAACTTCGCCGCAAGTTTTCCATCAGATTTACACTCTGTAGTTTTGTGGGACGACGCGGTTTTTCGAACGACGCGGTGAGAGGTCTGTCGCAGCTTCTGCCGCAACTTCAAAAGTCCATGTCATAAATGGAGTGCTGACACGTGGGATACAGCCGTTCGCAGTCTCCGCTCGTTTCATATGCGCGATCGTAAGCGTGGTCCTCCGACCGTTCGAATTTGGCACCATCCTTTGGCAATCTGTGAACAGAATCGCACGTCGTCGAGTAACAGTTGGAATTCGATTTAAAGATATATGTGTCACACTCAAAACGTTACCAAAAATATCAAAATTTCATAGATTGTTCTATTACTATGTCTGAGTACGAGTATATCTGTGTCGAATTTGAGCATAATTCTCTTATTGGCATAATTCAAAAGTTATTTAATTTTTCTTTTTACCTTGATTGTGTGTGTGTATGTATGTGTGTATTATGCAAAAGTTAATTTGGATCCATTTACTCTAAGCGTTATATATTTATCTGAAACTGCAGCAAAATATGATAACTGCCATATAAAGGGATCCTAAAGATAATTAGTCATATTGAAAATAGCACTTACAACGATTTACGTGTCATTTATGTTACGTACAGCCAAAACATCCTAATTCCAAAGTCTTATATATATTACCCCATTAATTAAACTTCCTTTTTATTTTTTAAGTGTATATCGGAAGGTTTCAAAGGGAACGAATTCGATGCTCTTAAAGGAAATCGGGATCTTCACTTACGTAAAAATTGTGTGAAGGAGCTCCTGGACGAAGGATCCCGTGCCTATCTGGGCAGGATCTCGCTGGCCTGCTTCGCAGAGTGCCCTCATCACGCAGGATCTGCCATCGAGGCCGGTGCTGCCAATGAATTTTAATTTAAAAGTATAAACTTCGACGACCAGCTCGGCGGAGCTTCTGATACGCGAAAACAATTACCGCTCGAAACAATTCCGTTTCGCAATCGCACTTAAAAGTAATTACGTCCTCATAACGCGTAACAACCGCGCACTGCGAGTCGTATAAAGCGCCAAGAATGCAGGCATTATCTGAGTCGTGTCGCAAATTACATTCACCATAAAATTAAATCGCTTTTCTAACCGATATACTTATTGTTTCGCATCATTTCGAGGCAGTTTTCATTGATGTCTAATGATTCGATAGTAACAGATAAAGCGTGTCTCTTCGCGTTTACATTTTTATTCGATCATAAAGGATTTTTTTGATGCTTGAAACTGTTTCAAACGCATTTAACCGTGATATGCTTCTCGTCAACCCGAATACATGCTGAAAGATCGGAGGAAAAGCCGGTTGAAAAATGCGGAATAACGGCACGACACTCACGATTGCAAGAAAGCCTCCATTTTCGGATATACGACGCTCCGGCTTCTACGGTGAAGCAAATTCGATATCTTTGAGTTGACCTTATTCGGAAGTTCCCAGGCTAAGGCAGCTGTCAGTCCCAGCACCAAATCACCGTCTCGGCCGTACGCTCCGATAGTCAGACAATACACTAACTGGAAAATACACGAAACATCCATATGCAAATTCAGTTTTCCATAAATTTCGCAGACTACAGGCGGCATGAGCGGCGCTTTACTTTTCTACTTTATCCGTGTACCGAAATCTGGGGGAGGCAATAAAATTTCAAAGCATACAAAACGTTTGCGAAGTACTTGGCCGAATTTACGTGATGACTGTTTGATTTTCTGCAGATCTCTAATGCAATCTTAAAATGGCTAAAAGAACGTCCCACATTGTGGAGAAATGTTCTGAAATATTAATTTTAACTTGTAAGGCTTGTTTTATGTTAATACAATGTATATTGTGGAATTTACATTAGAAACATTTTATCAATCATGACGAAAGTCATTAGAAAAATCCTTGAATTATTGAAAATAATTATGAATATTATAAACTGTTCTTTTTCTAGCGTTATTTAAATATATACAATAAATAATAGCATTATTTGGATTTATTGAAATATATACAATAAGTTAAACAAAACTGTTATATGAATAAATCAAGTAAATATAAATAAATATAAATAATTTTAGAGGCTATATAAAATAAAAAATAATAATGAGAGGGCATTGAACCACAGTCGTACGATTTCAATGGCGAATAACTTTATAATTTAATATACATATGTATAGACGTTTCGGTATAGATTAGGCTATCTTCAGTATAGATACAGAGTTTAGTCAATTAATATGGCATTTAAAACAATGTGTTACAAAATTAAAAATTTGAGCTTATTTGTTAGTATTTGCGCTAATTAGATATATAAAAGAATCTTGCTAGTATTTTCTTGTTCTTCATGTGTCCTGATATTACATATACGTTAGTCTTAATGTGAAAATTTAGAGCATGAAGATTATTTTGCTAATTGAGTGTCATTGTTTTCTAAGTAAAAAGCTAACTTGTTTGACGCGAAAGTTTCCCAGCTCTGCATCAAAACAAACCTATATAAAAAATGCTACAGCTTATGTGGATATCCTACTCTGTTAACTCACACCGACTTCTGTCCACTGTGAATAAATCAAATAAGTAAAAAAGCATTAAATACAACCGAAGGTAGATATTGATATTTAATTATCTAGTTGAAGTAGACAAAGAATGTTTTTCGCAATAAATTTCTTACACTGTTTTAAGATGCTAGTAGTATTAAATTAATGATTAATTTAATTTGTGATATTATTATGGCACAACTTCAATTTACAATTACATTTCAAATCTAATAATAATTGCCGCGTATTTTATATAACTGGAAGAGTATTTAAAATTTACATAATAGAAATATTATTAAGCATCAATTTAGCCTCGGTCATATTTGGAACTCTTATAAATATATTTACCTGAAAATTACAACCCTCCGGAAAAATCAAATATCTCTTAGGTCGCGACAAGGTTCTGGGCGCGACATCGACTTCTGTTGCGTTCTCATGGACGACCGACGAGCCGACGAAGAAAATCAAGAAATTCAACCACCCAACAAGAAATGAAAGCCGATGGTCTAACATAACTTTCATACGGCAAAGTGTTAACGTTTTCTCGAGTCATATGTAATCACTTACAAAAAGAGGAATATCGAAGTCACAAAAGAATGAAATCTCGAATGAATCCTGCAGACGAGTTCCGGCCAACGAGAAAACACATAGTTTTACGATAAAGTTCTGCTGTAAACTTATAAAAACCGATATCGAAAAGTTCCCATGCGAGCGAATCAACCTCTTTTATTACGCGTTAATCAAAAACAAAAATCACACGTGATTTAGCAAGTTAATGAAATTTGATATATCCGTTTTGTGTCATCGACCAACGTTAGCGATTCATCGCAGATAGTCGTCGTTATACTAGCAATCGCGATCAGCGAGTACGAAGATTTGACAGATGATTCTCCCGTTAATAGTAACGGTAAGCACATAGCATGCTTTTCCACGATTTAACAGTTCGCCTCCGTACCCCGATGATTTCTTGGCCAAACGGAACAATCGTGTGTTTGTACAGCGCGTTATTCACTCTTACGTCATTTAAACACAGTTTCGCAAGATGGAACAGAGACGTTACCTTTACCATTATTACCTCGACGGACGGTTTCCACAGCACATTTTTTCCCCATTTGCAGCTCGCACCTTAACGAGGGAGAGCAAATTTACAGCGAGCGTAAACACGGCATTACTGCCGGGAAGAAACACAGACGAAAGCGGAACGTTTGTACCATAAGTACCTTTGAATCGGAATATTGCACTAAAATGTAGACAACAATGAGCAACTTCAATATGGATGTAATTTTCGCGAATAACTGTAAGAAAGTTATAAAGATATACATTTTTATCAAACATGTATAAGTCGACAAGTTTGATATGATTTTTATGTTCTTTAAAGTATTACAGTTAAACATTATTGTGTGTGACTGTAAGTAATTAATAAAATTTTACGAAAGATGAATCGATTTCTTTCGTAAAACAATACAACCCTAACCGTTTAATCTTACAGGATCGACTTTCGAATCTGTTACATAGATCAAATATTTCTAACAATTAATAATGAATATATGCTAAATAATTATCTTAAAGAAATGAAATATTCAATAGCACGATCAATATCTTCATAAAACACTCCACTTACGATCAATATTGAGAAATATTAGAGCGACATGTTTGTATTTTTAATTTGGTTCTCTCAAAATAATTATAGTTGAATTTAATAATAAGTTTATATTGATAAATGCAGATATGAAAGAGTTTTAAAAGTCATTAAATAATTGTTGCAAGGTGCAAATTTTCAATCACTAAAATTTTCAGCAACCAAAATTCCGAATCATCTATAAATTGCGAAACATCCAGACATATTGCAGTAATTTATAAAAAATATTTAATGAAAATTGCATATATGTACATTGTGCAAAAGTACTTTATATTTTCATATTATGTAAAAATCATATCGAATATCACTGCTAGTAAAAACATATTTTTGCTCCAAAAAATATATTTTATTTATTTATTTACTTAATTTAATTTTAGTCAATAACGTTAGTCTATTAATGTTATAATAAATTTCTGGCGTCGGCTATCACCAGCATCAATTTGATCTCAAATACAAGGTCAACGCAACTTTTTCAATTATTAATATATATAAATAAAAAATTCAATTTGTATAAATAAAATAATCTCTGTAGAGTACGAATCGTTCTATTTGCGTATATTTATTCTCCTCTTTTAAAATTTCTTCCATTTCTCTGTATCACTTCTATATGTATATTATACAATATGACATACGAAAAAAGAAACTAACTTACAATTAAACTAATATAACAAAAAAAATCTTTTAGAACTAATATAAGTTCTTAACGTGTATAAAAATTCATGTTTATTTAATAAAATATAAACAAAATATAAACGTTTCAACCCTTGTTCTAGGCCCTTCTCAATATATAATTATCCTACTAAAATTAGCGCAAATCTTACAGTAATTAAACGCTCCAGTCGAAGTCATTAAGTCATTCGTCAAACGTTGGAAGAAAAGTTGGTCAAGATGATTGTCAGCTTATTATATGATATATAGAATTACTCAATTAAATAAATAAAGTTGAACGAATTTAACAGCTAGTATACATCGAATTGTCTAGTTCTAGTTTAATAGTACAAACTGATATGACAAGAAAACAGTGTTAATAGCTCGATAATTATAAACGTGACTTGTATCATTAAACCAGATAATTTTTATACATGTTAAGAACTTGTGTTAAAAGGCTCTAAAAATTTGTGTTGGGTCTAAAAACATTTTATTATATTAATATATTTACTTGAGCCTGAATTATTAAATAAACTTTAATTACTAGATAAACTAGACTAACGTAATAAATTAAGGATTGAAAAAGAATAAGATTGTATAATTAAATTCTCTGTTTCTTATATTATATTTATTTTTTGACGACGATCAATTATCATTTTGTAAGCAATTGCAAAAATTATAAAGCATATTACATTTTGATTTGAAGCGTGTTTACCAATCGATACTATGGTTCGAGTGTTTCGTGTGTAAGTACATCACTTAGAACTTTTATCTTAAGATAAAATGCAGAGCTACCGTGCAAATCCTCGCGCGGATACAACTCCGCAAATTGTGTCCGCAATTAAGAGAGTGGAAGGAAAGTCAATAATTAGTCTACGTTCTTAAAGTTCCCGAAGATTCCTCGAATCTTCCTTAAATACTTCGTTAATTAAGGACGAGAATATTTAATCCGCTGATAGAAGAACGATACATGTTGGATTTCCCGCAAAAGAAAGCTTCGAAATGATCGAACGGATTATCTTTAGAATAAGAAATTAACTTATCTCATTAAATTTCTTATATACATTTACCCACATTTATTAAATCGTAATTGAAGAAGAAGAAAAGTAAATTCTCTTAGATATATTTTTATGTTTCTAAAAGAAATTTTATCTTTACAATTAAATGTTTCTAATTAAACATAAAATATATATATATGTATTTATCTATCTTCAACAAATTATTTAATAAGAATTATACATAATAAACGTTCTGAGGTTTCCACAGATATTTTCTTCAAAAAGGCTACGCTGTGTGTTTGCGGATTATCTCCGTGTCTTGATATTCGTTAAATTGTACATAAAGGGAATCTTCCAGAGAAGCAACTCAGTATCAAGTTGCTTGTCGCCTTGATGAAGTGCAATGTTCACGAAACGTTGGCGTTTAATAATGTATCAAGACACAGAGATAACTCGCAAATCGCATAGCTTCTTTGTACATAATAAAATACATAATAATTAAAAAAAAATGACGCTCTTTCTTAAATGTCGAAAATATCTAGAGAATTTGTAATTATTTCTTTCTTAATTAAAATTACAATGCACATTATTGTGTATTTATCGATAGAGCACAAGCAGAGGTTTATGATGAACATGCAAAACATGAACGGGACGTCAGAGAAAAGTCATTCAATTCTGTTCGAGATTTTCCAGTCTATTTCACCGTCGTACCCTTTCGGCCTTTTGTCATTTCCGGCAAGCTGTCGTTATCAGTAAACCACCCTCACGATATATTCGTCGCGGCCGAATCTTTTTGGACTTCGACCCCGTCATCGCTCACATAATGCCACTTGCTCCAGATCAGACCTGACAAAACCGAACTAACGTGCCCCTCGTTCTTTATTCGGCAATTTCTGTGTCCCCATTACTGCGACCGTTAATTGCATACGGGAGTTGCGCGCGCGCTGGTTCTTCACAAGAAAACCGCAGAACATTTTAAATTAATGCTTTTCGTTAACTCGTAGTCCGCCAAGAGTCGCCAGACGCAATTATATCGCGTTCTCCATTGCTGTATCGCATTGTTCAATGTGCAACAATCCCGGTGATGGCTGTCCGCTGGGATAATGCTGAGATGAGAATGAGCAATTTAAAAAGCCCCGGTAATGTCTTTAAAAGAAAGGGGACATTGTCACACGTGCCATTCCGCGAGATTATCACTCATTGGAAACAATCGCGCATCAGGAGACACGATAGTGTCTCGGCGCTAAGCCAAGTGGTTCCTTTACGCGAGATCGCGAGTTGCGGGGGATTGAGATTATTGGATCTCAATAACAGCTGAACCGATCAAGTTCTACATACGTTCAATCGATAGCGTCCACTCGGATTGTTGATATAGGGATTAATCGATTTCTTAAAACATCGGGAAAATAATCGATTATTTGTACAAAAAGCATCGATTCTTAAATCATCGATCGATAATTTCTCATCCCTATCCTCAATGGATATTTTATCTCAACACGCGAGCGTCTCATTCCGTAATGTTAACATTATTTGTAGTAGTTTTTCTCAGTAGCTAGTTTTCCTCCCTCTTTTTTTTTCATTTGCAGGAATATTTTCGAAATCCTGTTTGAGTTACCTCTGCGGTTCTGGCAAGTTTCCATAGTTACCGTTGCGAGAAAAAGAATTTGGATTGAGAAATTTGTCATGATTCTTAAACGCGAATAAATAAAAATATGACACAAGTTATAAGGAATTATATGAATTATGCTTTAAGTACTTCCAGAGGAATTGTATCAATTATGCTTTAAGCACTTGATTGATTTATAATAAAAGTTTCAACGCTCCACCTTGATGTCTCTATTACCTGTATCGTCTGATTATCTTCGTTAACGTTCGCCGAAAAATAATTATGAGGAAAAAGTAAAGCGAAGAATTCCTTGTATAAAAAGTACCAGCTAGCCCGAAATTAGCACTGGTACACGAAATTAACATTTTACATTATCGATCGTTATAACTTGCGCCGGCGGACCCATCTTTGACTTTTTATTTCACTGCAGCTTCCTATCACGAGCGAAACTCGAAATAATTACATCGCGAATTCATTTACGTGCTAATAAAGCGGTCTTATTACAACACCATATTCGTTTATAATGAAATAGATCGTGTCACGGGACCTATCGTGGGGCAACAATGCACCGCAATTAAAAATGTGCATTTACAGAGAAGTTTCCCCTTGTTACCACACAATTTCATAAAAGCAATGCGACACAAAGGAACGTACTTTAAACGAAACATTTTTTTGCGTAATTATATGGAACAAAAATTTTAATAAAGCAATATCGGAGTCATACATTAAATTAGGATATCA